CCAAAAATAGCCGGAGGCAGAGTAGCTATTAGGCTGATTAAATCTTCAGGGAAATTTGAGAAGGACTCGCTGCTGATGGAGGACGCGTAGGCAATTCTTTTTCTAGAGAAAAGCTCAGCCCACAAGGCCATTTTCAAATTAAATTTTCCGTAAAGTGGGACTGTTTTATGGCTTTCTCACTAACAGTTCGACTATAGTTCATCAAGGCTGACCAGCTGATCAGCTTTCGATGAACTTACATCTCAAAATATAGCCCTAGCAAAGGTTAGACTAACAATATCAACAGTCGGCTCAGCTTACAACTAGCATATACTACCATGTCAACAGAGAAGTACAACTGAACTTGAGCCTGTTGTCAACACGGAGATTTCTTCGGCTAGTCTACTGACCAGGGAGCAGAAAAAAAGTTGTCTGAGACTGATTTGAACCATCTGCATTCTCTTAGCCAACCAACATCGTAAAAGTTGTGGTTCTGGAGAAGCCAAGGGTTTGGGTCGTACAGCTGAGTCCATTTTGAGTTTAACGACTTCTCTAGTAGTCATCCTTGCACAGGGGCCATGCTAATCTTCTCTGTATTGTTCCAATTTTACTATATGTTCAGGAATGAACGATGACACGCAAATTCGTGAAGCGTTCCAAAATTCTCTAGTAGTATTTTCTTAAGAGGTATAGGCGAAAACCGGAAAAAGCTGGTCCTCAGAGTAGTTAAAGTTTCTCGAGAAAGCTGAAAACTATGAGAAGATAGGCTGCGATTACCAGTGGATGGTTTCCCCTTAGGCCAAAAGTAGAGGAGCCGGAAGAGGGCCGAGGAAATTTGATTGTATTTTTTTCAAAATATTTTTAAATTTTAAGAAAAGCAAAAGCCATTTTTTGAAAATGACAAAGAAAGTTCCTGAAAATATCCCCTTCCCCCCCCTCGCTCCCCCTTTTCAATTTTTTGCCGGCATCTAGGTCACTTTCAAAGAAAACTATCGTACGGATTATTGGGAGATGGGGCTACTGGAGCATAGCTCTCAAAAACTATTCTCAAGCTGGAGTAGTTTGGCTAGAAAGTTTAAAAATGTACTGTAAATGCAAGCCAAGTGTAGACACCAAAATTCTAAGAACTATACAGAGAGGAATAAAGCGTCTTTTGTGCAGAAGTCTAGGTATTTTACGAGCCAGTCGCCTCCTGAGCATATGGTGGATGGAAAAGATGCGATTTGTAAGAAAAATTTTTAAAAAAGTATGCCTTTGCGTGATAGGTTGCTTATAAAGCATTATTCAGGAAAAGCACTGTATGAAATTTGATCTACTCAATTCCCTAATCCAGCGTTGAATCACGACTTTCCAGTAAGCTATAGCTGAATTGAATGGTTTAGTGCGGCAAACCTCTAAAATTACTTTAAAAATGGATGTACAAAATTTTCAGTGCCAGATGGGGCAGCGTGAATGCAATTGCCGTGTTTGTGGTGTACGTTCATTACATTTGCATCGTGTTTCTTCGGGTGAGAACCGAATAACCTCGTTCATAACGATTTCTTTGGGCTTCTCTAGAAGAACATGGACTTTTCTTACTAAATTTCTGCAAGTTCGAATCGAACGGCTGTTTTCTGCAAACTCAATAGGGTCCAGAATGTGAACGCTGTTTCAGTGCGTCATAAGCGGTAGATATTCTGCAACTGTTATTTATTTGATCAGTGATTCCAAAACACCCGGATAATCCTCGATTTTTTTTAAATATTAATGGATGTTAGCACAAAAATCGCTTCAGCAAGGTGCTTACTCCACTCCTACAGCAAAAGAACGTCTTTACGGGTAACTTCTCTAGAACTAACAGGTTATTTATTAAAAAATAATATTTCCAGTATTCATTCGGCGACTGAACTGCAGATGATTACAGATTCTTCCACCAGCTCTCCTGTCAATCGAAAATCCCACTCGTTTCAAGCGTGCACTGCTCAAAACTGATGTTCTTCAGTTACTCAACCTAAGTGATGTCAAATAATTTCTTGGCCGAATGCTTCCGTTTTTCTTTTAAGCCATCAAGTCTCCTAAATTTTCTACCTTTCCTACTATCTTCTCTTGAGAGGTTGTATTTCATTATCAATGGTCTGATATGTTTAGTCTTTGTCCTAGCTCGCATACGACTGAGGAGGCTAATCTTTCGCAAAAAATGGCCCCAACCTATATTCTGCTTCTTAGTACTCCTCTCTTTTACGCCATAGACGTGCATGGTAACCCTTCTTCCTCACCGGGAGGAAGACAGATTACCAGCCTGCGCACCCGGGAACAAAGGCTAAAGCTGGCTCAAAAATATTGTTATTTTTTCATCCTCTTCGGTCAATTTCTTTAGGCCATTCTTCAACACTTTGATGCGGTTAGCTGACTGAATGTTCACCGATCGCATTCCTGTTTTTTTTTCTTCCTTTTCTTTTTCTTTTGTTTTCTTCAACTGTGCTTGTTCTTAACTTTTTCAATACTAGAGAGGTATGTATTGGAATACGGGTTTCTGGTTTTATTTTTTGTTACTATTACTGCGCACATACATTGCGTGAAAATATATAAATAAACTGATTGTTCTTCGCATGTGCAAGTAACATCCTACTTTCGTTAGTCGAGAAACTTGAGCTATGTAGAAATGGTCCCCTAATCGCAAAATTACGAGGTTACAGGACTGATGGGCACACCATCCGCGCAAAAATGCTGCCTTGTGAGTTTATATCAAATTAACCAAAAATGGTGCTTCTGCGATTTACTTCAAATTCCTATATCAGCTACAGCATTTCATATTCCAGTAAGATTTACATGGAAGTAAAGTTCAGCAACATTCTCACTGCTCATTCATATTCGAGACTAAAGACTACTAGAATAGTAACATCTGGTAACCTTGAATAAATCTCAGTCTACGGTCATGATATAAATAAAGCGGTCAGAACAGCAGTATGCGCGATATTTCTGTTTGTTTTCAGAAAGAAAAAAACTTCCAAATTTCTTGTTTTTTACTTACTCTCTTCAGCGTAAATGTAACTGAGCACTACTTGTTCAGGATAGCTAAAAAATGGCGCATAAGATATGGCTATCGATCGCTGCTCTGCTGTGTTCACAGGTGATCTTCACTGATTTTCATAGCAAAACGAAAACGGAACAGCATTACAGGAAATTTCCTATTGCAGATTACAGTACTAGACGCCGCGAAGTGTAAGTTGAACTTTTTCACATTGGAAGTTTTTTTCCTTATTTTGTTTATACCCCCAAACAAGTGTAGACATAGAAACTAATGCGGCACAAATTCTGAAAACAATACATCGACATCTATCATGTGCGAGGCTCCCGTCTCTACACTTGTTTCGAGTAGGCAGCAGAGTCCCCACAAGGTGCAAAGATATATGCAATGGCGCGGAACTGTAGTGGCTACTGAAGTGCAACAGAGTTTATGCTTACTGATCGCCACCGACGCGACGCAGCTGATCTCTGCACCCGCACTAACAGCACCCGTGCTCAGTTCCTCATCGAATGTGCCAAATTTGTTTAATGAGTTTTAGTGTGTGCGGTGTGTCTTCCTCGTTGGCTTACTCTGACACCAGCTGATGGTACACCCGGATCAATAACGCCAGTGATCAAGTAAATTCATCAGAAGTCAACCTTCATGAGTATTATATACATACTATAACCTGAGCACGCATGCTGCTTGCTACGGTGATAACAAAGATTTCTTTAAAAATGGGTCGGTAGCATCGTACTTCCAAAGGCAGGGCTTGTGATATTCGGACAAACAGTCTCGTCAATGTTGCACCACCCGTACATGGATTGAGGCGCACATCTTCCATTCGTAAGGCTAGCGTCAGGTGGTGCAAGTAGTTGACGGTCGACCCTTTCTGAGCGATAGCCAAGCTGATGGCTAGGAGCCTAATACAACGTCCAGCTATTTAGAAAAGGCTCCTCGACAGTTCAGCTATTAATCATCTTTTCGCCAAGCGTTGAGTGCAAGCCCTGCCTGCCGTTAGTTTCACAAATGAACTATACATTTGCGTCGTGCAAGCTTCGTTTACAGCATAAACATTGTTCTTGTAAAACTGTAGTTTATTTCGCTAAATTAACATTCAATGAACACTAAATGAAATTGTCGCCTCCTCTCAAACTGTCCTTCGATCATCTCAGCTATCATGTTGAAAGGAACTATTATCGCTACATAAGAGCTTGCGAGCATTCACTTGCATCAGTCAAAGCAAGTTTCATAAAAATCGATTTCAAGAATATTCACTTAAGTAATTAAGGATGCTACCCAATGACTCAAGAGGATGCAGACAGCTGTACGTAATCTGCAACACTCCACCTGGCTATGCAAGATCAGTCATGGTGGTAAGGACTATTCCCTTCTCGGAATTCTACCTACTTTTCTCTTAAAAAGAGTTACTAATCAGTTCAACGACACTCCACCAGGAAAGGTTGGAAAGAATGTGAGAGACCTTATAATATGCTGGAAAGCAATGTGGTATGATTTCGGGTGGGTGACCATTCCAGTAAGTGCAGTTTGCCACTCACTGTTTGAAGAGCGAGAATTTCCGAATTTTTACTGCTTTCAGGCAAATTCTTTCGGTAAGATGCTATGCAACAAAGTGAGGTCGTATCCACCAAATCTAACGAAAACTGGTCCAAGTTCCTTAGACGCTACAGTGTTGTTCAAGGGGTTCTCTGATGATCAGATGAATTCTTATGCTATCTTTTTGTTTAAAATTAGAGTACAGTTAGTAGCATTGTGTAAAATCTACGCAGTAAACATAATAAATAAGTATTTATCCGTTTGTTGGAAAAACTAGTGCAATTTTGCCGACAAGGGCTTAAAGTTCCTCGGCCATTCCGCGGCATTATTCAGTTAAGCCAAAACATCTCAATGAATTTAACTTGTTGGGACGTGAACAACAGACTGGAGCGAAGAGAGCCGGCCGCTCTGCAACGCGCAAGTCAGTCGGCGCGCTGTATTCTACCTAACGAGAGGAGCGAACGAGATTTGAACTGCTAGAGGCGTGGCAGTGGTACGAGAGATTAACCGATGACGGCGACTCCAGCCCGTTGCCCGTTCACGACATTGTGCCTCGCACCAGTAATTTGGAAATATTCGAAAGATTTAATTAGACATAGTTATGTGCACAGTTTTTGCTTTTCTTTGCGAAACATTCGTAAAAAAACGCCGTAGGCTCCAAGTTCTTCGCTAAAACAAACATTTTTTGCTCTCAAACTTATGTTTCGGCGTTCGACGACGACGACGACGCGATGCGTTGAGTGCGTATCGATCGTTTGTCGTCGACGATTAATACGCATTCAGCGCAGCCCGTCGTCTTCTGTCGCTGATTACTGCTAATCAACGACCATATTTACTTGTAATATTTAGACGCTTTAATGCTAATGTACCCCTTCACTCTGTCAGCGAAATGTTGCTGCCTGTCCAGGACAGAAATTTTGGCAGGTATCACTCTGGCCGCCAGATCGTGGTTAAGGGTGTCTGATGGCGCTCCACCTGGCAGCATAGCCTTTTAACCCATGCACTTGTTCTCCAGATATGAGGTCATCTTCGACTACTTTTTCCGCTTAAAAGCCTAAATGCTCAGCTCTACATGTGCCACCATCTC